GGCGGGACTGCTTTCACCCAGCAGCATCAGACATCAGCTATGCACTCAGGTGGGACTTTCACCAAACCAACCACTGGCAGTGTCAGCTGTGGATGCTGTGGGCAGGTTCAGGAGCCTGGATGCACAACCTGCCAACGACATCCACAGCTAATACCACTGCCCTCCTAGTGCAGTGAAAGCTCCTGCCCGGAGCCCTAACCCAGAAGCTGCCACCAGCATCACCTTTGGATCCAGGCAGGAGCTGCTGTTGTGCTGGGTAGACAGCAGTGTCTCTCTCTGTCTCTCTCCCACTCCTTCCCTCCCTCCAGAACCTGGCTGAAGCTGCAGTTCACCAGGAGTCCTGACACTCAGCTATGGACCCAGATGGAAATTCCCATCTGGGTCCACAGCTGAGCCTTGGGGCTGCTGATGAACTACAGCTTCAGCCAGGTTCTGGAGGGAGGGAAGGAGCAGGAGACAGTGAGGAGAGAAAGGAGAGAGACAGTGAGGAGAGGAGAAAAGATGGGGAGGAGAAGATGGGGGGGGAGGAGGGAAGAGAAGAGTGAGACAGAGACAAGAGATGGATGTGGCCCTCAATAAGTTCCAAGGACTCATTAAGTGGACCTCCAGCCGAAATAATTGCTCACCCCTTCCCTAAAACCATTACACCATGAAGAAAAGTGCTGGTGATTGGAGACTGCCTTCTGCAGGGAACAGAAACACCAATTTGACATCCAGATTTGGGGTCCCAGGAGGTGTGCTGTCTGCCTGGAATCTGTATTCAGGGTGTTACAGAAAGTCTGCCAAAGCTCATCCGTCCGTCAGACCACTACCCTTTGCTCTTGTCTGTGTAGGCACCAGCAATACTGCCAGGAATGTTGTTGTTGGCAGCCCCTCAATACGAGGATGAAAGTCTTCCATAAAATAAGGAAATCATTAGTGAGTCAACATGACTGAAGAGGCAGATCCAAGATCTTCATGGTTAATCGCAGAGGTGGCAAGTAGTTTTAGGAGGAAAGAGTGGAGTGGGTCTTGAGGATGTCAGGACACATTTATTTCCCTTCATCTTTTATCTATTCATCTCCATAGTGAGGCAAGTCTGCTCAAAATGATTGCTGCCTTGTCATACATTACTGTGCCATTTGGGGCAGTTCAGTACTCACGTTTCCCAGGTATATTTACTTTCTCTTCACCACTTAATATTTTGTAAACCCTATTATTTTCCCCCTTCAAGCATCTCTTTTCTAAACTTGAATAGGCCTATCCCCTTTACTCTGTCCCCATAAGGAAACCCTTCCATAACACTAATGATTTTTGTTGCCCTTATCTAGTTCTTCTATCTACTTTTTAAAGTATGGGGACGAAAACAGTGCATAGTATTCAAGGTGTGGACACACTATGGATTTACAAAGAAGCATAACTGTTGTTGTTCATAATTTCCTTAATAATCCTTAATATGTTGCCTTTTGCATGGCTGCTGAGCACTGAGCTGATGCTTTCAGTGAACTGTCCACAGTGATTCTCAGATCTCCTTCCTTTGTAGTGACAGTTAATATAGAGCCCTTCATAGTGTAGGTATATGTATTTATTTTTTCCCAGATGCATTACTTTACACTTATCTACATTGGGCAAATTAATAGCAGATGAAATTCATTCACTCCATTGCGCCATATCCTTCTGTACTTCCTCACAGTCTGCTTTGTTCTTTACCACCTTGAATAATTTTGTTGATTCTTCAAATCTGGCCATCTCACTAATTCAGCCACCCTTTTTCAGATCATTTAAGAATATGTTAAACAGCACCAGTCCCAATGTGGATCTCTGCAGGACTTTCCTATTTACTTCTTTCCATCCTACTTATATTCACTTTTTGTTTTCTACCTGTAAACCAATTTTTAATCCATGACCATGGGCAGATCTGGGATTTTGAAAAGTGGGGTGCAACTAGCATGGTGCATCATCCCATATAGTTTCATAGTTGGTAGGGTCAGAAGGGACCTGAGCAGATCATCAAGTACAACCCC